AAATTAAAAAAGAAAAGAAATTTGAGTTTTGAACGAAGCAAAAATCACTCGAGTTTCCCTTTCGACCTGAAATGTTTTGTTCAAACTTGCCCCGATTCATCCCTTAAAATGGACTGAAACATTCCTGAAACTGGTCACAGCATGCTTTCCCTGGAAAGGCCCTTAAAAGAGTACTATTACAGCTACCGCCATTAAATACTGATGACAAAGCTCCAGACAGACAGAAGATCATCATCATCATTAACATCAATAAGAACCCAATTCTGGAGGAAAATATGAACTTTGATGGTTACTGGAAGTGGCACCTGCAGAGACCACACTGACAGAGGCCACATTTCGGTGACGGAAACAAAGTTCATTAAAGAAAAGTTCGAACCTTTCACCCAGTTGGCAGTGTGATGGACAGGGAAGGTGTGGAAAGGCCACAGTGATGAGATCCAAATCTTAGAAGCAAAACTTTAAGCAAGTCATCACTTGTAGGAAATTAACAAACTGCTTGCCAAGACGACGCCTAGAGCACTGATACGTACATGTTACAGTTCTACGTTAAATCCGCCTTCCTGGAAATTACGTTACAGTGATAGAGATCTAAAAAAGCATAACTGATCTGTTTGGTAGTAATCCTCCATTTAACACAGTTCATCAATTAGCGCAACAGTTCATAAAACAAGATAGCATGTAATAAGATGGACAGGGATGCACTGCATTTAACTTTTGTCAGTGTCAAACCGACACACTGTAGATAGCGTGGCTTAGCGTACGCTGATACCAAGAACCGATCCAATACCACTGTTAACGACCAAGCTCTAGTCCTCACTGTGGGGAAGAGACTGGAAGTCATTCCTTCATATTTAAGACAACAACACGGTTAAGGTATGCTGCTTTACAAACTGCGTGAAATCAATGTGGCAAATAAATAAATCCAATAATATTTATTTATTGAGCTGGTATTTGTAATCAAAATAATAAATAATTATAATAATAAATAATTTATGGCACACTGGTTGTCAGTTTGCGTAGGTTTGATTACACAGAGGTGTTTGCAACCTATGCAAACATGCTTGTGTTCACTCCTCCCTTTCCATAAAGACAGCATGAAGGTCGCCATGAATGACGTTGTGCATGAGTAAAATGCTAAATTGTTCACAACTGGGCTGGAACCCTGTTCCAAACATTAAATGCTCTTGCTTCACCACAGCTCTTTGTAACGTTATAAGTTCAGGGTCCTCTGCAACTGTGAGCTACTCTTGCTTATGCAAGAATAGCTCTCAGCCTGGCTGCTTGCGACACTTCCCCCTGGTAAAACAGCTACAACATGTGGACGATGGTCTGCAAAGTTGCCCGTAGGCTCACCACTGAACTATTAAGGCACCAGTACACTCGATGCATTGGTCTCTTCATGTGCCACCAGTATAATCGTCACACAGCCACATCGATGAGTACTCGCCGTTATAGCGCAAGTAGCCATTGCAGTATTCTTCAAAAAACAACAACAAAAAAAACAGTATGCCACTCAGGCAGCTGTGATGTAGAAGGAGAAGTTGTCAAAACCGGAAGCAAAGAAGGTTTTTTCCACTAAGTCTCATCTTTCCAAACTGTGGGAACATCTCCCTGTGTTTACCCTGAGCTTCTATACTGTCTCACTAAAACATTGGTTAAAAAAAACAAAAAAAACCGTTGTCACCTTTGTGAACGACAGCGCATAGCAAAAGTGACATCACTTTGCTGACACATGCTGTGGCGTTCTTTCAGCTGCTTGAGCACCTCTCACAACTTGATGTTTGCGGCCTAGTTGAAGATATAGTGTATAATTGTGTCCTTGCGGGCGTTACCTCCATTTCTGTGATGTATCCATGTAGAACATTAGGTTACTGTAAACTGCAGTAAAACCTTGCAAACACGTGTTACAATTAACATAAAGAAACTGCTGAAGCGGTGAGCAAGACAAAGCATCACCATTGGTTTTCAGTCGTGTTAGCTCTCCTGACCACAGTGTGTGGTTAAAACTGAAGTGTTGCAAACATACAAATAAAAGCTAGCTGGATATCAGCTGTAATATTTTCATGCAATAGTGTTTCTAAAGTTGTCCAAGCAGGTGAACTTCTGAAAGTCATTTTAATGTGAGCTCAGCTCTGCAATAACGCTAGCTTTGCAGACTGCAACACGTACTTTGAAGCATTACTGTAAAAGCACAGAGGCCTCTTTACAAGTGAACATCCTCGCATGGAAAAATGTACTTCAATTCGGCTTGACTTGAGCTACGAGTCATTTCTTTGCTCGTACAACTGTAGCTGTGTGCTTTCGGTGGGTTTTCCAGTTTGCAGACGAAAAGGTGCTAAAACAACCTGCTGTGCATCGACACCGTGGGCAGACTGTGTGTCAAAGCCTGTTCTCAGAAAAGCCTGCTCCTCTCTCTAACTACAGAAGACAAAAGAACTACACTGCTGCTGTTTGACACAAGGACAATATATTATGTAATGCAGTACAGTGTGCACATTTAAGGTCAGAAGCATCTCCTCAGGCTAAAGAAACACATGCAAGAAGTGTTTTTCAAAGTAGAGGGTAGAGTTTGATTTAATACACCAAGAAATGTGGACAAAACTAAGTTACCTTTGATTGCCATTCCTGTGTGGGAATGTGCACTACCAAGAGAAACCACAAATAAAATGGTGAATAATTTGAGTTTACGCTCTACTGCACTACTGATAGCATACCATTAGGTAGAAAGTGGATAGAAAATAATGCTTCTGTGGTCTATCTTTCCTGCACATTCCTTCATATACTGCTTGTAATCTGCCGTCAGCTACAAGGAAAACCCCTTGAGATACTCCCACAATACAGTTTCCAGGCATTTTATGCAACACCAAGCATCTTAAACAGAGGACTAACCTCATGTAGGAACAAAAAGAAAAAGGAAAAAGAAAGAAAGAAAGATTTAATGAGGTAATGTCAGCTCACTATAAAGCCCACACACTAGCCGCATTTCCAGGATGCTTTAAATGAGGTGGCACAGGAAATCTGAATATTTGATTGAGAAAACTGGCCTAGAAAACATTAGGTATGACTTTCAGGCTCATGTGAAGCCCTGTGCAATAATTAAGATGATATTACAGGGGAATGTGGTGCTGCACATGAGACTGAACATATTTTTTTTATCCAGTTTATTTGCAAAGCATGTATTTAGACTCTTTACTTAAGTGAAAGTCTCACTTAAGCAGCCTGAGAGTACTAACACAGCACCAAAACAAACTTTACATTTCAAAGCAACATTAACAAAGCAAATGCAGAATTAATATCAAATCATAATCATTGATGATCACTTTAATAATGCAGCTGGAGATGATTTAAATGTGTCTGGGTGCTTTCATGTATACATAAAAGCTGTTATTGGATTTATATTACAACCTTTAAAATATTAAGAACCCAAGGCTTCAAGATAAATCATGTGGGGTGCAAATTACATTATTAGCACCTAGAATGTAGTAGCTTAAAACTGCATTTCTGTAAATGTTTAAGTAAATGTGGCAGAAATAAACCTGAAGACATGAAGACACATATAGAAACTAGTGTGTTGATTAAATTACTGCACATGTCACTAGATGACTACACGCAGCACGCTACAGAAACTGAAGTAAGAGACATTCTTATTTTCTGTTACATTATTTTTTCGACGCCACGCTACTCTCTGCTTCTACTCAACTACTTTTGTATGGACAGAAATGAAAACCTGTTTACAGCTGAAACACTAAGGTGACATTACTCATATTAAGAAATCAATAGTTATGCTCTCAGAGCATCATGAGTACATGACTCCAGGTACCTTTAAGTGGAGTCCTTTTTTTCTTTTTGCATTAAAGGTTTGAGTTTATTGTAATTTTCCACTTCTAATCACTACATTGTGACTGTGCAGTGAACCATGGCTAACAGACCCAGAGTAGCACCGCTGCAGAAGCCTCAGGCAGAGAGCTAACACACAAAGTTAGTATAATTAATTATGGTTTGCAAAAACAAACTATGCATTTTTAGAATATCTGCTATAGCTACAGGAAAACCGGTGACAAACATAAATATAAATATTAAAATAAAGATAATGGGAAGCATAACTGACACTAATGGGTCGTCTTAGTGACTTGAGGGTTGTTTTAAAGCAGACACTTTTGTATTTCGGTCCACTGGAATAAGTGGAATTAGCATTTTTGATTAAAGAGTCTAAGTACTTGTACAAGTATTGTTATTCAATCCAGTTATTTTAAAGCCTCGGTTTATCCACAATTATAACAGTAAATGACACTGTGTTAGTACACATAAAGTACAAACAATTAAGTGCTAATGGCTGCGATATTAAACTGATAAACACAATGAATCCATATTCTTGATGTGACATTGTAATGTATGAGTTTCCTTTTACTTTAGGAACTTTAAGAATATAAAACATGTTTACAGCATCTGTCTAGTTAAACAGGATAACGATCTTTAGCCGAGTGAAGAATCTAAACAGTTTTTTCCATCTCTTTGCGAAACAGCTATTTAGTAAAAACAGCCTTAAACCTTTAAGCACGATCACTTTTCATGTGCACAGAGCTTCACGTGAGCATGAAAAATCACACCCAGTGACTTTTTCTACTCTGCATTTATTTCTGATCAAATGTTCTGATTCCCGCGGGCCCCCCTCTGCGGACCCCACTTTAAAAGAAATCCTGGAAACGCCTCTGTCCGCCTGAAGTGATCGATACCTCAGATATCGTCCACCCTGTTCAGCATTGATAACAGCTAAAAGTAGCCACATAAAATGAACTTCCAGGCTAGTATAATGCCATGAAGTCAGCGACCACCGTCTGGGATTTAACTGCCGTCTTCCTTTAAGCAACATCGGCTTCTCGCTGTTGCTTGCTAGCCAGCCGAAACATGACAGTTAGAAACGGAAAAGATGCGGGTTAGCCGCCGTTTACGTCGGGCTAAAATCAAAAGTGTCAGCCCGAGACACTTCGGCTACAACTTACCACACCATCCCGTAGGCGCCTTCGCCGATGTAGGAGAGGTTGCTGTACCGAGGCCCGACGTCGAAGGCCTGCCCGCGGACCAGCTCCGTTCCCGGCCCGGGGCTCGGGCCGCTGCCAGTTGGGGCAGACACCGCAGCTGTCGCCATTACGAGGACTGTCTTTTAAAAGGGCTTTTAAATGTAAAAAAAGAGCGACTAGGATCAGAAAACGTGCGTGTCTGTGTTTATATCCGACGCCGCTGTGACTGCAACAGGGTGTAGAGTGTGGCGGAGGCCTTCCCGACGTGTGGAGTGTTTTTTTTCCTTTCCGTTAACGTGCGTTCAGAGCGACCACACCGCGGCTGTGCTGTCGCAGGCAGGAGCGCGCAGCAGAGGATGCTGCTGCAAGACATCAACGGAGGCGGTCACGTGACTCCAGTCTTTATTTATTTATTTTACTTTAAAAGAAAAAAAGCTTTATTTTTATTCTGCCACAGAAAGGCTGTAACGGACTTCAGATAACATTTACGTCATTTGAAACATTACAAATACTAAAAAAAGAAACTGGGCTCTTGTAAATTGGAACTTTATCAAGTGGGCTATAAATGCAATTGTAATATTATTTATACTATATTATATTATTTTATTATTATTATTTACCTCTACTCTGATGTTGGCTTTGATCTACCTGTTAGCAGCTGCAGAACAAGATTACATGTTCTTTTAAAACATGAAAAAACACCCCAAAGTAACACTTTCCCGATGAAAGTAGTTACTTTCAATGCATGAAGTGTAAACTTCATCCTACTAAACTGCATCCTACTCCTTTTCGAGCACACACATTCTGTAGACATAGATATATACATGAAAACTTGATGTTTGTTAAGTTTTGTTATTTGTTTTTTCTCTTGTTATTTCAGTTATATTTGCATATTCAAAATAAAATTCTATCTATCTATCTATCTATCTATCTATCTATCTATCTATCTATCTATCTATCTATCTATGAATTCGACCTTTGCAAGTTTGTTCAATAACTAAATAAGTTTGGTTGTGGAGATATTGAAAGACAAAAATGTAGTCAAGTGACGAAATGACATATCTACATGTCCTAATTTTCTCTGTAACTGATGAAATCGGTGTTTCTCAATGTCACAATATTTCTAAATTATGATCTGATCTGGCATGCTGAGCTCTAAATAAATTCAGTAAAGTTTTAAGGACATAAAGTATAATAACTTATACATTATTTCATGTGCAGCCTTGTCTACATGTAGAGACCCTTTTATTTCAGGTTTTTACATAAAAAAGAAAATTATCACCTTCTTAGCTATTTTAAAATAGATTATAAAAATAAGAATTTTCACATCAAAGTTACCTATAAAAATGATGATGATGAAGTTTTAGAATTTATTTATTATAACATAAATATAACAAAAACTTATTCGATCTCTAAAGAAAGAAAAGCGGATTTAACATCAATGACGCAGCTTCTACACATTTTGTTGATGCCACTGGTTAATTTTGGAAGGTTATAAACACTTTTATTTTGCATATAATACTTTCCATCTGCAGAATTTCATTAAATGTTGCACCATAGGGGGGCACCTTAAAAAAGGAAGTTGTCATGTTCTTTAAACATGAGCTGCTTTCTTTTACCTTTTAAATGAGTGTGCACTCAATGACTTACCTGGTTAAATAATGTTACATTGACACACTGCACCACCTGGTGGTAGCAGATTGTATTATGCAAAAGTGCAGCTCAGGTAGCTCAGGTATAATTCAGCTTCAGCTAGCATCTCTTCCACACAGTACACTGATGCTTTGGGCATAAAGTCATAGGGTTTCTTTACATTCTGCTGCTAGCTTTAGTTCCCTCTGGTTTGTAATTGTTTAACTTATTCAGACAAACCTTTAAAGCATAAATAACCAAATGAAAAATAAGTGAGAGAAAAGAATGAAAACCTTTACATTAAAAAAAGAAGAAGAAGCGCTGAACAACAGAAGGTTCGAAGCAGATTGTTTAGAAGATATGAAAATACCAAAAACCACGACTAACCACTACTTCCTCATTATCTCCACAGAGTGAGATTTTTACGCACATACTCGTGAATGAGGCCCTTCATAATACCCACACCGACCCACACCTCTAGATGGCAGTGTGGGTTAAATACTATGTGAGAGAGGAAGCGCTGCAAGGCAGAAGTTGCTAAAGATCAAGTTTGCAGTAGTTCACAATAACATCCCGTCCATTTTGGCCCACTAAAACAAAAGAAGCCAGTCTGCTTCTCTGATCAACAAACTCGTATTTAATATCTAAGGCAGAAATGAAGTGTCTTTAAATAACCACAGCAATATTCATGTATAATGACAAATATAAATGTGAAAAATCCAGCTTCTCTTTTTGTGGCACATTTGTATAACTACTGATGAATCTGTTGTCACACAGTCTTTAGCAGTTTGCACCCATCACAACCAATCCATGTGAAAGAATCTAAAAATAAAGTTAAATAAATAAATACATACATAAGCAAGCAGTTAAACATTTAAAATATATCATATCTGCTTAATTATCAAGGATGTTTTGTTCTTCTTATCTGGGCTGCTCCCTTTAGGGGACATGACAGTTGATCACTTGCCTCCATCTCATCCTCTCCTTGGCATCCTCCTCTGTGACGCCAGCCCTCTGCATGTTCTCACTACATCCCTGAATCTCCTCTGTGGTCTCTAGATTATTTGAGCTGAGCATTTTCAACTCTGCCACTCAGATGTGCAGCCATCTCCTAACCATACATCACAGCAGGTCTTACTAATATGTTAATCATCCCTTGCACTTGTTTTTCTATAATTCAGTCATGAATGATGACAAATATTATTTTAATATTTAAATTTTTTTACTGCTGCATCACAACTGACCAAAACCTGGTTCTGCCAGAGTTTTCTTCCTGATAAAAGTGTGCTTATCCTCCACACCTTCACCAAGTATTGCTAATAAGG